AGATGCAAGCTGCAAGACGGTGACTGGACTCCGAGCTGGACTCCGAGCTGATCAACGTGCCGCACACGTTGCGCGGCTGATTACGCTGACGATGTTCGCCTGTTTTTCCCGCAACTTCAACTGCCTTTGGAGCGGGACTGACGCCGGCCGCTGACAAATGAGCGTTACAAGTGTTTGTGACAAGCCGCAAGCGTTGTATTTATTGCTATGAGCCAGCGACAGCAGCCGGCGAGGAGAATCGAGGAACAACAAGAAAAAAAAAACGATTAAACTTTGAACTGTTGGCTCGAGCAACAGCCTCCAGTGGAGATTCGCCTGGCATTTGCTGACCTAGGCCAAGGGTTTTGAGCTTAACTTTGAACCTGCATGCGTATGCTAATTCTGTGTCAATCACAACATGATCAACTGTCCCCTAGCCTCTCTCCCCAACACCCTCGCCCGCTGACTCGCTCAGGTATGCAAAACGTGCCACAGACAATGGCAATTTGAATTGCAGAGTTGCTGTCTTCTTCTTCATCTCATTCGCCTTCTTCGTCTTCTTCATCTTCTTTCGCTGTGGCACTTAATAAATTCTGTTGCACATTTTTGCATGCACCAAATTTCAAAAAATTTCAACTGATATGTTAAGCGGCTGTCAGCGTTTGACTTTGACGTCATCTTACATGAAAATTAAATGCAAAAGATCAAAACAAAAGACCAAACAAAAAGTCAAATATAAATATAAACGTATGCATGTGCGTCTGTGTGTGTGTATGCAAAATCCAATATATCTATATAGTATTTCACGATCCGCCTAGACGGCCAGCGAAATGGGCACAAAGTTGTAAAACGCTTCGAATGTTCGCTCATTGGCGCTGTCAAGAGTCGACATGCCCATGCCCATGCCCAGGCACAGGCCCTGCTCCCCTACTTCGACGATAAGTGATATGACATGCCAGGTGCCACAGATGCCGCCAGTGGAAGTGACTAGCGACCGCGGCAGTGCCTCAGCCAAACTGCTGTCAACTGATGGGGCTTTGCGCCTGGCCATGACGACAAGCGACAGCGATGCGCTACTTATGTAGCCATGTAGTTAGTCCCAGTGACACACCCGTTCCCGTTCCCGTTCCTGTTCCCGTTCCCATTCCCATTCCCATGCCCATACCAATACCCATATCCATATGTGTCTCCAATCCCTGCCGAGTCTTGTTGACATTTAGTGGTTCACTAAACGGGTTGCCAAGAATTTGAATCAGTTCGGTTTCAATTGGCTTAGCCACATGCTGATCTTTTAGCTGGAAATAAGAGACATCTTAAGCACAACATGGGCCACAGAATGCTCTAAAATAGTAGCACGTCATAAAAAATCTTAAAATATCCAAGACTAAGATTAAAGACATAAATCGGAAATTGTTCATAGCCCTACAGCCAGAAATTTCAGTCTGTTCTATATGGAATCTTCTTTAAGATAACGAAAGTAAATATATATCTAAGTCTAGAAACTGAAAAAAATAATAATAATAGTAAATAAATAAAATAATAATAAATCTAAAGTGATTGCTAAAAAACTGTTTACACTCTAAAAAGCTTTCATTATGATGTATAAATGACAACAAACGAAAAAAAATATTAATAATAGTATTAATAATAATAACAATACTCATAATATGATAATATAAATTTACAAAAAAGTAATATAAGACATTTTCTCTGAATTTTTTTATAATTTTATATAGCTGAAACTTTGTTCTTTATTATTTCTAGTGTGAAATACTTGATCAAAGTCCCTGAAGCAGTGGTAAAATGCTATACGATTCTGCATTCTACACTCTGCATTCTGCAATCCCCCCGATACTTTGGCACGCATTCTCTCAGTTGCGCAGAGGCAGCGTCTGCAGCTGTGAGTGTTTGTTGCATGTGTAAACAAATTGCAACACCATATGACAGCAGCGTTTGACAATTGTAAATGGCCCTGCCTCGGTCCGACTTTGCAGGAGCAGAGAGAAATGTCCGCCAAGTGCGCGCGGCGAGCGATTCATATTGATTTTCCGCTCACAATGCTCGGCTCGGGGCAAGAGAGCTGGGCAAGGTCAGTAGTGTATGAGAGCTAAGTGCCTAGTGTCTGAAGCTGCGTCTGCACTTCATACATCAAACGCCACTGAATGTTGCATGAAGCCGTCTGCAAAGTTGAAACCGACAGCTCGGACTCGGTTCTAATGGCTTGCGAGAGATATTAGCTTGTGAATCAAATTTGATAGTTGATAATCTGACTGACAGCCCTGCTAACTGAGGCAAACTGGGTCAGGACTTGCGCTAAGAGTTTCTGCAATTCCATTTGCCACCAAAGTGTCGCACTCTCTCTCACTCTCTCTCACTCTCGCTCTCGCTCTCTTTGTTGCTGATCCGAATGAGTGATGAAGTTGATGTCGTTGTCTGGTTACTGTCTGCCCAACTGTTTACGTGGTCATTAGTTTTAACCCGTTACGGCGTGACCAAGAGGCTAAAAGTGCTCTTCAGGTCTGCCATAAGTGTGGGTGTCTCAGCATACGTGTGTGTGTGTGTGTGTGTGTGTGTGTTTTGGCAACCGCCGTTTCGGCATTTGCCACACTCAAATTCACTTTAATTAAATGAGCGGTAATTAATTTCAACTTTAATCAGAAATTCCATTTAGATTTCCCTCTGATTGATGTGAACCGACATCGTACGACAACGTCACGTGGAGAGCTAAACCAATACAAACTAAAAACTAAAAAAAGTTTGGTTGCGCGCATCCTCAACAGACAGAGACAGCAGTAGTAAGGCAGAGACTGTGTGTGAAAGAGAGGGAGAGAGAAGGGCATATTGAGTGGCAAATGCGAGCAAAAGTTTTTGTTTACTTAAAATTTAAATTGAACTGAATCATGAGCAAGGCTACTTTAATATTTTAACGAAATAAATAAATAAAAGGGAGACAGAGAAAGAAGGCATGAAAAAAATGTATTTAAAATAAATATCATTATTTGTAATATATAAATTTAAATTATAATTGAGTAATATTTGTTCATAAATCATTTATGCAATCACATTTTCATAGAAAAGCTTCCCAAACTTCCTTCACTCAATTTAGGTGCTATAGATATTTACGTAGACCTTGAGCAAAGCTGTTGAACTAATATGAAAGTCCGGCATCAGCGCGTCGAGCATTTGCAGTCGAGCAATGCAAATGAACGAAATGCGACAGCAAGTTTGTAGATCCAATTGCCGTTCAGCAATGGGCCATGACCCATATAGGCTCATTGGGGCGTGCGAGGGGTCCAGAAGCGAACATTTGTCGGCTTTCCCAAAGTGCTGCTGACAGAAACGCTCCTCACTTGGCCTGTCTATCACATTGACTGACTGCCACACATTTCTCTGTGTGTGTGCGTGTGTGTGTTTGTTTCATTCTCTAAGTTTTTCCTTTCTTTTTTTTTTTGGCTTGCTGTTTATTGTTGTTGAATACCGGGCGGGCCAATTGAGTTGGCCATAATAACACGCCACGGTAAATGGCTTTTAAAAGTCTACTTTGCCACAGTCCGCCCCCTCATTATGAACGACGCGTTACGAACGCCCCCTCGGGCAGGCCCAAAGATGACAATAGTCGCTGGCGAGGTAGGAGGATCGGAATGAAACTCGGAAATTGTCATTATCTATGGCCATCAGCAGTGGGTGGAAGACAGTGAAATCGAGCAGCGTTCCCAACCCTCGATTGGCAAGCAGCGACAGCTGTCTAAGGTCTAGAGGTCTAGGAGTCCATATAGCCTATATAGTCTAGAGTGATACTTGTCGTGCTTCGCGCCTGCCCCTCCGCTCGGCTGCTCTGCTACTCTGCTGCTCTGTTATTGTTGATTTTTCGACTAACAACAATAAAATGAAAAATCTTTTTGGCAGTGAAACCTAAATTGCCGCTTGACACGTCACATTTATGAAATGCGCAACGTTGCAGAAAATCAAGAAAACAAAACTGGAAAACCAGCAAATTAACTGCCTCAGCGGTGCCTTGTCCACTTCAATGTTTCACGATTCACCAGAAACACCCCATCGGAGCGAAGTGTAAAGCTGTGAAATAAGACATCGACGAACGACATCGAGTAAACGAGAGCAACTTGTCCTAAATTATATCCATATCGATGAATTGCTACAAAATTGGGAAGTAATAAAAATGCCATATGCATATCATTTTCGTTTAAGAAAATTATTGTTCTAAATGTTCAATAAATTATTAAGTCCGATTGATTGATTTACATTGATTAAATGTATGATGATTAATACTGATAGCACTGATAATTATACTCCTAATGCCAATGCTCATGATAACGATGATAATGATGATAATGATAAAATCCGCACTTAAAGAATATCTATATCGATAAATTGCTAAGAAATTTGGAAGCAATCAAAATGGCATGTGCATATCATTTTCGTTAAAGAACATAATTCTTCAAAATGTTCAATAAATTATTAAGTCAGCGAATCATTATGGGAAATCAATTATTTACAAATTATAATGATAATGATAATGATAGAATTGATGTTACTGATATTACTGATAACTATATTTCTATCGATAGCGCGTACGATCACGATGATGACGATGATAACCATTATTTATTTTCAATATGTGCAAGAAAAATGTTTATGCATAATAATATATGATATTGCAAATATTTTTTACAGTAAATAATAAAAATTTGTTCTAAAAAATTTATATAAATTTTAATACTGCATACAACAATATAAATTTCTATTAACTGTAATTAAATGTAAGCGATATTAAAGACTATTTCTATTAAGCTCTCCGAATATCACATTTTACTTATGAATATAATAAGTAAAATAATAAATTTTAGATAATCAATACGCATTATGCCAACAATATAGATTTATATTAAATTAACTTTGATTTCATCAGATATTAAAGACTTTTTTCAATTAGCGTAAAAGCTCTAAAAAAAAACCCCATTTCACCATTTACTCACGCAGGATTGTTCTTTTCGATATTGCAGGTACTGTGAATGCCAATGGCGAGACGAAACGACAACGGACCTCATACACCCGCTATCAGACACTGGAACTTGAGAAGGAATTCCACTTCAATCGCTACCTGACGCGCCGGCGACGCATTGAGATCGCGCACGCGCTATGCCTGACGGAGCGACAGATCAAGATCTGGTTCCAGAATCGGCGCATGAAGTGGAAGAAGGAGCACAAAATGGCATCGATGAACATTGTGCCATACCACATGGGCCCCTACGGCCATCCCTATCACCAGTTCGATATCCATCCGTCACAGTTTGCGCATCTGAGCGCATAGGACGCGTGGCACTTTTCGGGTACTGGTTAGAGACTCAATCAGTTGTATCAGGAACCATATCAGGCGGCGGCAGCGGCCAGCGTGGCCGGCGGCTATCAGTCCCAGGGCCCTCAGGATCCGACCGCATCGGCATCGGTGCTGGGCAGCGTCAGCGTCGGCGCCAATGCCAACGGCGGACCTGGCAGCACCATTGGCACCGGCAACGGTCCCAACTCGCTGTTCAGCTCCGCCGCGGCGGTGGCCAATGCCAGCAATACCAATGCCGACTGCATTAAATATCCTCAAGAGTTCTGATCTCAGGTTATCATCAGGCAGCAGCAGCAGCAGCAGCAGCAGTCAGAGCAGTCACAGCAGTCACAGCAGACACAGTCGCAATCACTTGATCCGCTGCTGGACTCGGACTGTGAGCCCGATTCAGATTTGGGTCTGGAGCTGGAGTACAAAGCGGACATTGTTGGCTGTAATTTGTTCTGCTGCTGAGCCGGTGCCTGCGCCATTTGCCATTTGCCACTGCCTCGCATTCGCATCCGCATCCGCAATCTGCATCCGCAATCCGCAATCCGCCGCCGCTGTCGATCGACCAACATCAAAGACGATGCTTCTTGTTTGCAACTGATTCGTGTTAAGCTGAGAAATGAGCCGTAGCTGGAGCGCGGCTCATTTGGGTTTATGATACTGGAGGTGGAACTGTGCGCACTCGTCTAGTTCTCTCTAGACCTGCCTGCACACACAGACACACACACACACACACCGACTCACAAACACACACACACGCTCACACACACACAGCTTGAGCCTTGGGCTCGGAGCTGGGGCAAGGATCTGGAGTTAACTTTCGATAGCTGCTGCCACGAGACGTCCAGTATGATAAACTTCTTTCTCTAAGCAGTATTCGAAAAGCAATTAGTCATAAGTCTAGCTTAAATTATAGCTCTAAGTCCGCACAGACGAACAAACTAACTAAAACATAAATAGGTTAAACAAAAACCAATTTGAAACAAACGTAATATTTGCAATAATTTCAAAGTGATTTCTACTAAAATTAGTTTTCGTTTAATGCCTAATTCTAATTCTAATTCATGTACTTAAAAGCTACCAGCACATGGCATCTATGTACATACATATATATATGTATGTATGTATATCTGTGTCCTCTATAAGGCTTCGTTCAGTTTGTATATAGCAGAGCGTCTCACTCTCAATCGGCGCCTTATTATGTTTGTGTTTCATTTTTAAATATATAAATTGTTTGGCTCGAGAGCTACTTAGAAACAAGATGTAAGTTTTGCTTTGCTCGTTTTGTTTATTTCTTAAATCGAAAATCATTTCACAATTTGGAGAACAAATTCGGAGATGAAACAGGGAATTTGGCTAGCTGGCAAAATGTGGCTCAATTTCAAATACTTAGCACAATTTCTATAGCAAAGCCCCAACCAGACGCTCTCTCAATGTTATCTTTTATTCGATTATCGTATCAGTCTTATGTCTGTAAATCAAAAGAACTATAACAAGTCCTTAACATATTGTCTCCTAGCTTAAGTGTGCATTACAACTTGAAACCTAAATTAAGCAATGCGCAAATTGTTAAAACCTAAAATAATAATACAAATCAATTTTAAAAACAATAAAATAACAACGATGAAAAACAGAAGAAAAAGTAAACTTATACGTAAATGTAATGTAATTATTTATGCTGTACTTTTTGCTAAGCTAAGGTTAGTGCATTCTAGAACCTATCGGTAGTCTATGTGAACCTAGACCATAAGCCTAAATTATATTGAATTAGCATGACAAATTTTAGTAAAAATAAAAACTATAACAAGAAAAAAAATCTAATAATAATAATAATAATAATAAAGCCCGCGCATTAAAACACAAAAGCAAACAAAAGTAAGAAAAAAAAGCAAAAATACTTAGCACAAATTATATAAATATTTTATGATTTTCCAATCAAAATGCAATACAATGTTTGTAGTACGGGGCTAGGGGGGGCGCAAAGAGTTTAACTGCATTCCATGTAAAAAATAAATAACATAAATAGTTTTTAATGAGATCCGTACTTATGTAATGATATGGGTTCTATTGCGAATGCAATGTTTATAAGCTGTAAAACCACAAATGCATACAACTATAAATAAATCAAAACAAACGACAACATATGTAAACATGTACGAATATGACATAAAAATAAAACTATTTTAAAATGTACAAAACTTACGTCTTTTATTTGAATAGATTTAAACACTCTTGATATCTCCGTCTACTTTATTCTAGACCATAGGGAACTGTATTTGTAATGAATAGACTATTGCATTCCATATTCGAACAGGACTAATATANTTTTTTTTTTGAATAGTCAGGTCTGCTCGAGGTCAGGAGACCGTAGACTGACTGACTACATTTGTTTATTTACTTCTACACTATTGTCAAAACTGTCACTGTTACCAAGCCTACTGGGTATAAAAAAAATTTGAACATTTGGGGAAAAAACCGCGTTTTTCAAGTATTCGGCAAATTTTTTCAGTATTTTTAAGACCCTATACTAAACTCGTTGCGGAGACAAATCCAACAAATCAAAAACCATGAAAATTGGTTCAGCCCAAATCAAGTTATAAGCAGTCTTCACTTTTACACAACTTTCTTTTATATATATAGATTGTATAGCAATATGCCAAGCAGTGTGTTTTGAAAGCAGATTCTAACCAAGCTGTGCATCGATGTGGAGCAATACCATAATTCAAGCAGTGATTTACTCATTTGCAAAGTAAATTGTTATATGGCAGGGCACAAGCAAGCAGCTAACATCAACACAGAAACACAGAAAGCAGTTTTTTTGTTAACTCTGGTACACTCTTACTTTTGGTACATTCAGATCATTCGCAGATAATACCTCTTAATTTGTAGAGTTGTGGAGCGTACATCTAATATACATATATAAATAAAAAATGACACTATATTACAAATTTTAACCTCACATTCAACAAAAACAATAAAATAACAACGATGAAAAACAAAAGAAAAAGTAAACCTATACGTAAATGTAATGTAATTATTTATGCTGTACTTTTTGCTAAGCTAAGGTTAGTGCATTTTTACCTCGCCTCTTGACATATTTTTTTAAAATCGAAAATCATATCATAATTATGATATAGCTTCGTATATACCTTCATCTGATGAGGGATTGGAATTATAATTATTGTTTTTTTTTTTTTTTTTCAATATTTATGTCGGTAACTATTCTTATCCCGTACCCAAGTATTACTCACTCAAAGCCTTCGTGATTATATTCAATATAAATTCTATTTTATATTTCGATCTTGAAGAGAACAGTTCCTGCATATAAAAAGTCGATTTCAAAGCTTTATTTTATTTTATATAATACAACGGCGAAATAAAAAAGTTCTTTTGTGTTATATTTACACTCAGCCTTATTATAGCCGAGATAGCAGGCGATATTCCAGGCTGTGATTACTTTGACACCGTCGATCTAACGAATAGCGTTCAACTCGCAAACGGATCCTTTCAATATAGAGACATTATAATTCCAAAAGAAAATACTGGAATATTCTACGATAAAATATTACTTGATGGAATAAAAGAAGTTGATGACTATATCCGTGGTTGTGCCTGCCATATAAAACCATGCCTAATCTTTTGTTGTGACCACCAAACACCTTTGGGACCACCGGTCACGGTAGTCAAATGTCAACGGTCAAGTGGTGCGGAAGTATATCCTCAAAGACTATGTAGTTCAGCCAGTCTATGATTACCCATGTGAAGAATTCAAAGAGAGTGATGCGGAAAACCAATGGTCTTTATTCAAGGTCTGCTTAAGATGGATTCCTATTTAAATTATAGTATTTATAATTCACGAAATCACAAAGCTAATTAGTTTTTAGCAATGTCTGCCTTCCTGTCCGTCCGTCGCTTTATCGCTATAGGAGCCAAATATTTAGTATATAGACTCGAGGCTAGAGATGGCTACCCTCATCTGCCAAAATGTTTCTCCTACGTTCAGTGGGGGATTTGAAAATCGGAAATTTCAATGTCGGTTTCTATTATTTAAAGTGATAAATAATTGAAATGTAGAGTATACATATATTCGACAACTAACTTGGTTGACAATCCAAGAATATATATTCGCCCATCCGAGGAATGGCAACTCGGGTAAAAATTTATCTTCTAGAGATTTACAGTTGTAAACTCCAAAAACTTCATTCGTTTTCTCGTAACATTCTTACGTGTTTATAGAATGATATGCTATACGTCCATGGAGACAACAATAGCTTCGATAAGAGGCAGTACTGCCTGTTTCCGTAGAAAGATAACAATGCGGCCAACTATAAACTCGCTGTCAAGTTAATTCCTCAACCCGAAACAATATACAGATCAAAGCGTAAGATATCGATTTGAACTGAAAGTCTATAAAAAAGAATATGATCTGGACTTCAAATTTTATTTAATTTTAGTTTCGCCAACCCAAGCGTCGAGGTCCCTTTCTGTGTTCTGCATGGTCCTGACTATTGCGGTACTTCTATATGTCAAGAAATATAAGACGATGTACAACCGATGTTTCATTTGTTACCTCAGCTGCTCAACCATAAAGATTTTCTTGGCGTTTGTTGAATCGATTATAAATGTCCCCTATGACTTCACTCATAAATCTTGCCTTGCATTTAGTAATTTCACAAATTTCGCTTACTTCGGATATAGATTCATTGATGTCCCTTAAATACTAGCTTACGTGCACTATTTTTTCGTTATGGCCACCTTCCTTTGACTCATCATGATCAACTTGACACTATGGAACAGCTATAAACATCCCAGAATTACAAAGAGACCCAGTTTCATGAAATATAGTATCATCGTTTGGAGCATTGATGCTATATTACTTACTGTTTTCATCGTGGCTGATCGATACTTATCTGAAGATGTTCCTAGACATGTAAAACCTGAAGTGATCAAATATGTTTGTTTGGTGAAAAAATATTAACATTTAAAATATATCAGCTATCTTAACTGCAACTTTTTTTTAGCTACTGATATGAGCCTAATGATCTATTTCAATTCTCTCACATTGGTTGCCATTCTAATAAATAAAGGACTTTTCGTTGCAACTGCAAGAATAATATATTTAGAAAACAAGTATAATCAACACAATGGGAACATTTCCAATAGTAGGAAAACTGTGGAAAATCATGCTAAGTAAGTAAAAAACTATAATTGTTTGGTATTGCTTCGACTTATTTAGACCTCGTACCGAGCTCTCAAGGCGTCTTTATATTTGTTATAACAGTCGAAAGGAAAAAGATGATTAAAGCTATCTATAATCAGTATTTATTGTCATTTGCACATATTCCTTATACTAATCCATTCAATTTTGTATAATCAATCTAGAATGGAGTTCACAAGAATGAAACCTACTCAACTTTCCTACATCTCTACAACAAATGCGGATTCTTAAAACTATTTATTTAACTATTAACCATATATGAATCATGAAACATTCGATTTATAAATAAGATAATTATATATGTATATTTAATATTCCTGCGACGATTTCATGAAAAGAAACTATAATTGGATCTTTGCAACAACACCACCAATGCCCGGGTAGCTCAGTCGGTAGAGCATTGGACTTTTAATCCAAGGGTCCAGGGTTCAAGTCCCTGCTCGGGCGATCTTATTTTACTTAGATTTTTTTAAATTAAT